TTTAGACGGATGACATCCAAATTCATGTCTAGCTCAGACCACTCCACTAAGCTCCATATTCATACATTGCTTACTTAATATCGTCACTTGAGTGGGACATGAAAATTTAACATGACCAGGACAAAACTATTGTTTGCCCCTAAAGTTGTTCATCTGCCACCCCTTGCCTTGATGCCTTTCTTTCCCAATCATACCTATACCACCTCATCCTCTCCCTTCCAATCAAAATCTGTCAACAAGTCCTGGCGATTTTTATCTCCAAACCATCTCTCAGGTCTGCCTTCTTCCTTCTGTTTCTACTGCCATTGCCTTAGTCTAGGCACCATCATCTCTGCCCTTAGCTAAAGTGATAGTTCCCAATTAGTTTCTCCACCCCTGCCCTTGCCCCCGAATACATTTCCCACATCCAGGCTGAAATATTTTAAAACATCATGTCACATCTCTGGTTAAATTTTTTCAATGCTTTTCTGCTGTACTGGGGATAAAATGCAAGTTGTTTACAGTGGCGCCCAAGGTCCTGCATCGACCGCCTCCATCTCATCTTCGATTTCATGTTACACTGTTGTCTCCCTACCCACTATGCTCCCACCATGCTGGTCCATTTTCAGTTCCTCAATCATGCCATGTTCTTTCCCATCTCGGGGGACCTCTATCATCCCTTCTACCTGGAATATTCTTGCCTCACTCTTCATAATGCCAGTGTTTCCCTTCCCTAGAAGTCAACTGAAATGCTACCTTCTCAGAGAAGGCTTTTCTGACCACCCTACCTAAAAGAGGCCCACTGGCATTCATATCTCAACTCCTTGTTTACTTTCTTGCATAGCATTTTTACAGCCTGCAATAATAGGTTTTTTTTTTTGAGATGAGTCTCGCTGTCACCAGGCTGGACTGCAGTGGCATGATCTTGGCTGTCTGCAACCTTCACCTCCCAGGTTCAAGCAATTCTGCTTCATCCTCCCAAGTAGCTGGGACTATAAGCATGCACCACCATGCCCAACTAATTTTTGTATTTTTAGTACGGATGGGGTTTCACCATGTTGGCCAGGATGGTCTCCATCTCTTGACCTCGTGATCCACCTGCCTTGCCCTCCCAAAGTGCTGGGATTACAGGGGTGAGCCACTGCGCCTGGCCATTTAAAAAAAAAAAAAAATAGTTTCTTCCACTATATTATAAGCTCTACTGCACAAGGATGGGGTCTGTCTGGTCCCCCAGTTTCTAGTATCCTGCGAGGCATGAAGGAAACAGTTGGTATATGAATGATGAACTCCAATTTGGGAATAGTCTCTTCTGCTTTTGGCACCCAAATAGCCCATTTTACTTGCTTCTGTGTTAAATCTTTTGTCTCAACTCACCTGGATCTGAGGTTCTTAGATGAATTTCAGGTTTTCGAAGCAACCAGGATGGGAGACCCCCCTGAGACAAACAAAAAGATGACAAAGAAGCATGTAGGTTTTGTTTTGGGGTGTGGTGGCGAAGGAAGGAAGGGAAGGAATTGAGTATAGTGCTGGAGATGGCCCTAGAGGGTGGGCAGATGGGAGTGGTCTAGGAACCACACAAGGATAACGCTGCTTCTATCCCTTCTCCAGCTAACTCACCATCTCCCACTCTGCACAGATGTAAGGTCCTGGTCTCAGTATGACCAACAGGTTCGCTAGAGCTGCCTCATTCAGAAAGGCAATGAGGTCCCGGCTGCCATTAAAGTTATAGACCCCAGGCTGTGGCTCATGGTAGTTCCAGGGCACATAACTGAGAAAGGAAGAGGTTAACAGAGCCCAAGGTGGAGAGACACCAGGAGGCCTACGGGCTCAGGCCTTGCAGGGCATCTCCAGGAAGCGGCTGGAAGGAGGTCCTGCCCTGTCCTTTCCCACCCTTGGCCTAGGAGTCCTGGAGTGCTAAGCCCTGTTCAAACATGCCAGTCTTCCCGTCCCGACCTCCTTTCTTAGTGGGTGGTAGACCCCACCCCTTCGCGGCTCTTGCCAACACTTCTTACAACTGTATGGCGTTGAGGCCGCTCCATCGCATCTTTAAAAGCCGGTCGGCCCAAAGCACTCGCGGTACCCGAAAATAATGCAGGCTGCCAGATACATAGCGGAACGGGGCCCCGTCTAGGAGAAACCTGTCATGATCCCGATCCACTACGAACGACCGAGTGTCTGCCTACAAAGAGAAAGAGATACTGCTCAGCAGATGCCTGGAGGGAGGGTCGAGGGTCAGCGCCTGCCCAAAGCGGAGGAGATGGAAGTAGCCCCGAGGGTGGCTTCGTTGTTACTTTTGACTTTCTCTTATCCGCTGGATCTGGTCCTGCGTCACCGCACCCCCCGCCCTCCACCCCGTCAACTGGTTCAACTGCCTCATCTTCTTACCTGAGGCAGCAGTAGCGTCAGAAGCGGCAGCAACAGGGAGTGAAGGCAGGATGGCTTCTTGGGAGCCATGGCGCTTACAAGGCTCCTCTAGTCGGAGACTGCAGACAGACTGTCACGTGTCAGATTCCTGGGAGGGAACCTCAGCAAGCAAGGGGGCGGAGACCACCTCAAGTTGCCAGGCAGTTAGCCTGGACTTCCTCCTCTCCAGCCTGCAGCCACCCCCTACTCTACTAGTTTGTAAAATCCTCTTTATCATGCTAAAGTACAGTTAACCAATCAGCTTCATCAGCGTCACCTGGGAGCATTGTTAGAAATGCAGAATCTGGGGCCGGGCGCGGTGGCTCATGCCTGTAATCCCAGCACTTTGGGAGCCCGAGACGGGTGGATCACGAGGTCAGGAGATCGAGACCATCCTGGTCAACATGGTGAAACCCCGCCTCTACTAAAAATACAAAACAATTAGCTGGGCATGATGGCCTGTGCCTGTAATCCCAGCTACTTAGGAGGCTGAGGCAGAAGAATTGCCTGAACCCAGGAGGCGGAGGTTGCGGTGAGCCGAGATCGCGCCATTGAACTCCAGCCTGGGTAAGAAGAACGAAACTCCGTCTCAAAAAAAAAAAAAAGAAAAGAAAAAAAAGAAATGCAGAATCTGGGCCGGGCATGGTGGCTCACACCTGTAATCCCGGCACTTTGGAAGGCCAAAGGTCGTGGATCACCTGAGATCAGGAGTTTGAAACCAGCCTGGCCAACATGGCGAAACCCCGTCTCTACTAAAAATACAAAAATTAGCTGGGCATGGTGGTGGGCACCTGTAATTCCAGCTGTTCAGGAGGCTGAGGCAGGAGAATTGTTTGAACCCAGGAGGTGAAGGTTGCTGTGAGCCTAGATCAGGCCATTGCACTGCAGTCTGGGCAACAAGAGTGAAACAATGTTTCAAAAACAACCACACACACACACACACACACACACACACAAAACCAAAAAAAAAAACAAGAAGAAATACAGAATCTGGCCAAGTGCGGTGGCTCACGTCTGTAATCCCAGTAGTTTGGGAGGCTGAGGCAGGTGGATCACCTGAAGTCAAGAGTTTGAGATCAGTCTGGCCAATATGGTGAAACCTGTCTCTACTGAAAATACAAAAATTAGTCGGGACTGGTGGCGTAAGCCTGTAATCTCAGATACTAGCGTAGCTGGGCAGGAGAACTGCTGGAACCCGGAAGGCGGAGGCTGCAGTGAGCTATCCTGCCACTGCACTCCAGCCTGGGCAACAGAGAGAAGAGACACTGTCTCAAAAAAAAAAAAAAAAAGAAAAAAGAAATGCAAAATCTCAGATCCTACCTCAGACCTATAGAATCAAATTTGTATTTTAACAAGATTCCCAGGTGATCTTAGGCACCTTCAAAATTGAGAAGCATGGCTTGACTTGACTGGGCTCCCTGAGGACAGGGAGTGCCCTTTTTATCTCAAATCCTCAGCTTCTAGCACAGGGCCCGGCACACAGCAGGTTAAATCTAGATGAATGAATGTCAGAACCAAAGAGCTAAAACATGTTCAGAACCAAGGGAAACCACTGGAAAATCTTCAGCGTGATCCGGGGTGTGGAAGGGGGCAACCAGGTCATAGAAGGACCTTTTTCCTGAGACCCCTGTTTCAGCAAAACAGCCATTCCCTCCTGGCCATTCCACCTTCATTGGAAGTGCACCCTTCTCCAGCTTACCCCTGCCTGCCTCGGCAACAGATGTCAAGGACAATTGCTTTGTGCCAAGGCTTGGAAATTTGTGAATTTCCGTTCCTTTTGCTTTTACAGTTTCAAGCATGGGATGTGAAGATCAGGGTAATAATAATTACTGTTGACACGTACTGAAGGCTATGTGTCAGATATTGTATTAAACACTGTATATCTCATCTAATCTTCAAACAAGTCCACGAGGTAGATAATATCATTTCCATTTCACAGAGGAGGAGAGGAAAGGACGGAAACATTAAGTAGCCTGTCCAAGGTCAGGCAACTATGTTAATAGAGCTGGCATTTCAACTAGTCAGTCCCGCCTCACGGTTAAGCTACTTAACCTTAGGTACTAATACCTTTTTTCAGGTACCAAAATTAATGATCCAAGAAGTTAAGAAACTTGCGCGAGTTTACACAGCTAGTATGCTATTAACATTCAATTTAGAAACTGAAAGTCTGGTTCACAAGCCTGAGCTCTGAATCACTGAGACTAAGGGTAGTGCGATACAGCCCAGAGCCCGGAAGTTGTACGGGATCAGCAATCCAGACCACCAGACCCGCCCCTCCCTGGATCCCCCTCCAGGCTGCAGTGTAGTCGGCGGCGTTCTGCCCCGGAGTGCCGGAGGTATGAAGCCTCCTACCTCCAACATTAGGAGATGGAGATCCTGGGGGCCTCGGGCCAAGCCCGGCTTTGTTCCCCTTTGGCGCAGGTGTCTGCGTCTTGACCCCTACTGAAGGCCAAGTAGAGAACCCTCACAAGAGTCCTGCGACCCGTCCCCCGCCAGGCCTAGCCCGCTCCGGGCCTCTCAGCTCCCCGCCCTCACATCCTCCGACTGCCTAGCGGTTGCTAAGATATCGCCGGCCGTTGCGCCGGTGCGGACTGATGATGTCAGCGCTGCTTCCGGTCCGTGGCGCTGCGCTCTGGCCGAGCCAGGTCAGTCGGGGAGTGCGGGCTGACCCACCCCGGGCTCTGGGCTCCGAAGCCAGGGGTGGGCCCTGCCAGGAATGGGCTTGAGCCTCGCACGTCTTTTGAACTACCCTGTGCTCTGCCTTTGCGGCGCGACGGGCATGGGAGTGGGGCTGCCCAAAGGTGGGCTGGGGTTGGAGGAAGTGGCTGGGTAGCCGCTGTGTGTCTGTCCTGAGGCCGTAAGGCCCCTGACCCCACCCTTGGAGCTGGCGACGGAGCAGGGCCTGTTTTCCCTAGACAGTAGAGTAGTGTAGGTCCCAGAGACCTGGGCCTGAGCTCTCCGCATTGGGACTTCAGGAATCTTCTGGATTGTGCCGGACCTGCGACCCTGCCGTTGTTTTCTTTCCAGCATGATCCGCTGGGCTCCCAGCGCATCTCCTGGAAGAGCCCACTCATCTTGGACGAGCTCTTCGGTAGCCTCAGATCGTCCTTGAAGAGGATGACTGAGACATTATGGGCCACGCACTGTGTGTCTGCTCTCGGGGAACTGTCATCATTGACAATAAGCGCTACCTCTTCATCCAGAAACTGGGGGAGGGGTGAGTGTTTGGAAGTCAATTAACTAGTCCTGAAGGTTATGGTCATTGAAGGACAGCGGTCTGCACATGTTTGGGGCACAAGGGTTTTATCCCTATCCCTGTCCTCTCTCACCTGACAGCTCTTAGCTACACGGTATCGAGAAGGTGGATCCTGGAGCCAGGCCTGCTAAATCCACTTTGTGTGACTTTGATAAACCATGTTTTTTTCCATCTGCTTAATGGAGATGATTATCATGCCTCACTGATGGAGTTGTGAGGATTAAATGAGATAATATTATAAAATGTCTCACCCAGTGCTTGGTTCCTAAGTACTTGATAAGTGTTGGCTATTATTTACTTCTGTCAGGTGCAGAGATCTCTATTATGACCATAGGACCTCAAAGATTTCTATATCTCTGCTCCTGAGGAGCTCACAGTATAATATTCTTCAGATTTCACTTAGAGCCACATCTTGGGAGGGTTTCTGCTAAATGGGAAGAACACCCCACTCCCCACCAGGAAATTTCTCTAGGTCCAAGCCATGTTGGACATGACCATGGCCCTTCATTGACCCCTTTGGCCCACAGTGGGTTCAGCTATGTGGACCTAGTGGAAGGGTTACATGATGGACACTTCTACGCCCTGAAGCGAATCCTGTGTCATGAGCAGCAGGACCGGGAGGAGGCCCAGCGAGAGGCCGACATGCATCACCTCTTCAATCACCCCAACATCCTTCACCTCGTGGCTTACTGTCTGAGGGAGCGGGGTGCTAAGCATGAGGCTTGGCTGCTGCTACCATTCTTCAAGGTCAGAAAGACTCTTGGTTATGGAGGGGGTTGCAACAGAGCCACGTACCCAAGGGCTGTGTGAGCAGTCCAGATGTTAGGAAGCAGGGACCACGTCCTGGGTGGCCGCTTTGGATTTGGGGTTTGAGGTGTGTGTCATGAAAGGCCTGATAGGCTTTGACACATGGAAGGGATCAGGCCTAGGGAGCAGAGGCTCCAAAAACATCTCCAACTTTAGGGAAACTTGTGTTGCAGAGAGGTACGCTGTGGAATGAGATAGAAAGGCTGAAGGACAAAGGCAATTTCCTGACCGAGGATCAAATCCTTCGGCTGCTGCTGGGGATCTGCAGAGGGCTTGAGGCCATTCATGCCAAGGGTTATGCCCACAGGTCAGTGGGAGGACCCTGTGTGCTTGCTGGGGCCCAGAGGAAGAGCCTCACTAAGAGAAATGGGAGGTCTCTGTTCTCTCAAGAAACAGCCTGCATGACTCTTTTGCTCACCGGGATTCCAGGCTTCCTGTCCAGAGATGTCCAGGTCATTTCTACTTCCCTACAGAGACCTGAAGCCCACCAATATATTGCTTGGAGACGAAGGGCAGCCAGTTTTAATGGACTTGGGTTCCATGAATCAAGCATGCATCCACGTGGAGGGCTCCCGCCAGGCCCTGACCCTGCAGGTAAAAGAGTCTCCATGCTCCTTTTCTCACCAGTTCCCCATTCCGCCCCTTCTGGTGCATGCCCCGGTTTGGTCACATGACCATGCCCTGTGCTCCACTTTTGAGCTCTGGGACCACTGTTCCAGGACTGGGCAGCCCAGCGGTGCACCATCTCCTACCGAGCCCCAGAACTCTTCTCTGTGCAGAGTCACTGTGTCATCGATGAGCGGACTGATGTCTGGGTGAGGAGCATGTAGGAGGGCATCTGGGTAGGGAGGGCTGTGGCTCTGTACCCACTGTGGAGTAGAGTAGGTTGTTGGTTTCTGTTGCATGGGGCCCCAGGAGCCACAATATGTCCCCATCCACTTCAACTTCCTTCCTGGGAACTGTTACTGATACTGTACCCAATTGCACCGGATGTGGTATAATCCCTGCCCCTGAACAGGGTGAATACAGCTCAGTGTCAGTACTGAAGGCACTGGCTAAGCAGCGGCTACAGAGGCCTCTGGCTGACTGGCAGTTTCTCTGGGCCCTGGCGGTACCATGTGGCTGAGGTCAGCATATTTTTAGCTTATATAGTGTCCTTTTACCACAGAAGGAGAGAGATGTCACCTCCATTGGTCCCCTTCTAGGTACTAACCAAGTTATACTCAGTCCCTAGGCTGCGTGCTATATGCCATGATGTTTGGGGAAGGCCCTTATGACATGGTGTTCCAGAAGGGTGACAGTGTGGCCCTTGCTGTGCAGAACCAACTCAGCATCCCACAAAGCCCCAGGTGAGCAAGCAATGAATGTGGCACGAGGTGTTTCAGACTCCCCCCTGGTATTAGCTGAGTTGGCGGATAGGTGTCATCCAATCTCCCTGAGCTCCTCCCTCCACAGGCATTCTTCAGCATTGCGGCAGCTCCTGGCCTCGATGATGACCGTGGACCCACAGCAGCGTCCTCACATTCCTCAACTCCTCAGTCAGCTGGAGGTGCTACAGCCCCCAGCTCCTGGCCAGCACACTACCCAAATCTGAAAAAGCAGCGGCATGTTGAGAAGGTGGTCCCTCAGGCCTTAGAAAGAGGTTCCTATCCCTCATTGGAATCTCCCCTAATTCCATCCAGGATACTGTTCTCTTACACTTGGGGGTCACGGGGTCAGGACAGTCATCTCAGTCCTGCATCCGCTCTTCTGCTTTCTTACCTCCAAGAGCAAAACCTGGGCAAGGAGACTTACTGAGTGAGGGTGGGTGGGGGTTGGGAAAAGGGAAACTGCTGGGATATGGAACATGGCTCTGAGTGGGACTGCTGAGCTCATATCATGTTCTGCCTCCAAATCTGGGAGCAGGAGAATGTATAAAGAATAAAGAGGAAACAGGTTGGAGTGGATCTTAAGTCTCAGTGTTCCTGGAGTGAGAGAAGAGGTGCAGGGCACCCAGAGTCTGGTTGCCATTTCCAGGTGAACAACCTGGGAAGAAGAGGGACTGGTGCAGAGTCAGCAGTGGTGTGACTTCATTCCATGGAAGGAGGTTGGTTAGCAGTGGACAGTTCTAGTTTGTCTTAGATCAGAACTTAAAGCTGCTTGGGCTTAAGCTGGTGTCTGCCTGTGTCAAAACTGGGACTAAGGCCCCCTAAAAGCACCCAACTAGTTCTTTCCTTCCTTCACTCCTGGGTTGAGCAGTTGTCAAAGCAGCCCAGCCGGTTTGCCAGGCAAGGGCCTCTGGGTGGAGACACCTGAGGAAGCTTTGGGACAGCTACATTACAATCTCCCATCCTCAGCCTAGGGGCAAGGGGAGTGGAGGTGGCAGCTGTTTGGGCTCATGTCTCCCTGATGGTTCTAGCTCATACATGGTTAATGATTAATGGGGCAGTGTGGTATGGCAGTATCCAGCTGCCACTTCTTGCCTACTCTGCTGAGTAAACAGGGGCCCTGTCTTAGCTGGACGTCAAACCTGTTCCCTAGGGAAGGGCACTGTCCCTGAATCACCAGGGAGGAAAGGCGGGAGGAAAGGCAAGGGCAGGGTTGGCATCTCCTTTGGTTGTGATCCAAGCCTCCTCCCTCCAACCATGCCCACCCTGCAGGCTGACATCAGCATGGGGCCTGGGGCTCCTGTTGGCAAAGTTGAAGCTTTCCCGGGGGCCCTAGCAGGAGTCTCCCACCAGTTAGCACTGAGGCTGAGGCCAGAAATAAATCACAAACAGAGGGGAGATGACCTGACTTTTAATGGCACAGCCCCAGCTCCAGCAAAGCAGCAAGACAGGAAGCTATGCAAAGCTGCTCAGAGGTGCAGTAGCACAAACAACTCTAGGAGATCGCCTGTGTTCCCTCCCATCCCCCAAGCTTATGACGTGGCTCCATGCCCAGGAACTCTAGGCCAGCCCAGCCCCACTCCCAAACCCTCATAATGCAGAGGAGCCTGGGCCAAGCCTTGCTTCCAGTTTGTAAATGTAGAGGCGGCAGGAAGAACAGGGCAGCAGTCTAACTCTCAAAGATAAACTACTGGATTAAACTTCTACTTGAAAGAAACTGAAGATTCATCCTTCAATAGTTTGTGTTTGGATTTGGTCCTCATTTCCTCCCTATCCCAGGTACCCCTAGGACTTCGATTTAAACTCCCTGGGGTTATGCTTCCTGGGCCTGGCAAGGACACCTTGGCAGGTCTCATCTTCAGCCATGGAAGGGATAAGGATCATTAGCAGCAAACAGTGAGGGCAGCGGCATCATGAAGGGGAAGGCAGCAGAAGCTCAAGCACTCACAGAGGGGACAAGAAACCGTGCAAGGAAACTGTTTATTTTAAAAGGATTTTGCAATAAACATAGTGAATAGGCTCCGGCAGCTGCTTTATTCTTCTCCCTCATCCTCATCCTCATAGGAATCGATGCCCACCTCCTCATAATCCTTCTCCAGGGCAGCCATATCCTCACGGGCCTCAGAGAACTCGCCCTCCTCCATGCCCTCACCCACATACCAGTGCACAAACGCCCTCTTGGCATACATCAGGTCGAACTTGTGGTCCAAGCGGGCCCAGGCCTCGGCGATGGCGGTCGTGTTGCTCAGCATGCACACAGCACGCTGCACCTTGGCCAGGTCACCCCCAGGCACCACAGTGGGAGGCTGGTAGTTGATACCGACCTTGAAGCCTGTGGGGCACCAGTCCACAAACTGAATGCTGCGCTTGGTCTTGATGGCGGCAATGGCAGCGTTGACATCCTTGGGCACCACATCTCCACGGTATAGCAGGCAGCAGGCCATGTACTTGCCGTGCCGGGGATCACACTTGACCATCTGGTTGGCCGGCTCAAAGCAGGCATTGGTGATCTCGGCCACCGACAGCTGCTCATGGTACGCCTTTTCTGCAGAGATGACTGGTGCATAGGTGGCCAGGGGGAAGTGGATGCGAGGGTAGGGCACCAGGTTGGTTTGGAACTCCGTCAGGTCCACATTGAGGGCCCCGTCAAAGCGCAGGGAAGCTGTGATGGAGGAGACAATTTGGCTGATGAGGCGATTGAGGTTGGTGTAGGTTGGGCGCTCGATGTCTAGGTTGCGGCGGCAGATGTCATAGATAGCTTCGTTGTCCACCATGAAGGCACAGTCTGAGTGTTCCAGGGTGGTGTGGGTGGTCAGGATAGAGTTATAGGGCTCGACCACGGCTGTAGACACCTGGGGTGCTGGGTAGATGGAGAATTCCAGCTTGGATTTCTTGCCATAGTCAACAGAGAGCCGCTCCATCAGGAGTGAGGTGAAGCCAGAGCCAGTGCCCCCGCCAAAGCTGTGGAACACCAGGAAGCCCTGAAGGCCTGTGCACTGGTCAGACTGAAAGGGAGGAACGAGAAGGACAGTTTAGGCAGAGGAGGGGCCTGAGGGACTCTATCACCTGGCTCCATAAAGCATAAAATAAATATATCAGCAGTCAGGGCCATACTGAGGATGCCATAGCAGTACCACACTCAAGACCATGTACAGTTAGAGATGACCCGTGTGAAAGGGATCTGAAAAAAAAACTCCTGACCATTAGGACAGTCTCTAAAGTTCCCTCCCTCCCCAGACAAACTCTCACCAGTTTGCGGATCCGATCCAGTACTGGGTCAATGATCTCCTTGCCAATGGTATAGTGACCACGGGCATAGTTGTTGGCGGCATCCTCTTTCCCAGTGATGAGCTGCTCTGGGTGGAAGAGCTGTCGGTACGGGCCATTTCGAATCTCATCTGGAAGGGCAAAAACCACAAGGCTATGCTCAGCAGAGACCTTCCTCCCCCCGGGTGGTGGCTGTGGCCAGATGCATGGAAGGACTCATCCTCCTGCCAGCCTGAGATACCAGAGTGTAAGAGAGAACCAGACCGGCTACCCAGGCCAGTCTGAGATCAGCTTGCCTTCTGCAGCTTCAAATACGGCTAGGAGTTTTCAGGGCCAGGAATGCCTGATCTAAATACCCTCTCTCCAGGGAGAAGCTTTGAGTCATGCTCCAACCCCCTCAATTTTGTCCCCACTTTTTCTCACCAATGACCGTAGGCTCCAGATCCACAAAAACTGCCCGGGGCACATGTTTTCCAGCACCAGTTTCACAGAAGAAGGTGGTGAAGGAGTCATCCCCTCCACCAATGGTCTTGTCACTGGGCATCTGCCCATCAGGCTGAATCCCATGTTCCAAGCAATAGAGCTCCCAGCAGGCATTGCCCATCTGGACACCTGCCTGCCCCACATGGACTGAGATGCATTCACGCTGAGGGATAGAGAGAGGGGACACAGCATGAGTCCCACAACCACAAGTCGTCACCTCGAAAGTCCCACTTCCACCCTATCACCTACCAGCTAGGATGACTCAGTTGGCAAGAGTGGAGGCTTGGGGCTGGGCAGAAGTGAGAAGAGGCTAGCAGCTTGCCTGGGCTCCCGGGTACAGGACTCCCCACCTGGAGGCACCCAGCAGGGAGGCCAACCTCTTAGCCCACTTTTCAGTGGGGAATCTGTCAAGTGAGCACTGTGGCTTCACATGACAAAAGAAGGGTTCCTGGAGGTATGGGTTTATGGTTAGAGGCCACCCACTTGATTATTTGCTTTGAGTATGAACAGCTAGAATTCATAGAACCCTTTCCCCCTTTCTTTCCTGTAGGCTGCAGAGGTGTCTCAGCCATCCAATCTGGTATCAGCGGACCACAAGCCATCAGGATGCCCTCCTCCCTCACCTTTAAATCCCATCTGGCTCTGGGGATCAGTCCCATCTGGCTCCTCTCCCCACCTCCACCCCTGCAACCTGGGTGTCTTCACCACTTTCATCTCTGTCAGTCCGCACGGAAGTAGCAGCAGTAATGCTTGTAAGCGCAGACGGTAGGGGCCAGCGATAAGGTTTGAGGGTATTGGGGCAAACATTGCCTTAGGCTCCGTTCCTGCCAGCCCGAAATTAACCTCCAAAGCACTAAAGTCCGCAGGGCCCGCGCACCTCCCTTCCCACACTGAAATGGCGGGGTGACGGTTTCCAAATATCCAGAAAAGGAAGCGGAACCTGCGGTGAGGCCCCAGAGGTAACCCGCCTTGCCCTGCGCAGGGTGGGCGCCATTCTGCAGCCCAGCCCTACATCCGCTCTCCCTCTGGAGTCTTTCCAGTTACTTCCCGGCCCAAAGTGGGGATTCGGTTTCGGCCCCCGCTCCTGAGCTATAAATACCACCCCCTACACGCACCTCTTTCCCCTCCCCCCAACCTGGCCTCGGCCCGCGGAGTGCTCAGCGCCAGCTGTCTCTGCCCATCCGCACCCGGGCTCCGGCTGGAGAGGGCCGGCTAGCTTCAGGAGGCCGAACCCCGTTCCCACTACCCCTCTCAGCTCAGAAGCGGGGTGCTGAGTCAAGGGAGGGGGTTCCGTGGATAGTTGGAATGCATACACAGAGGAAAGGGGGATGCGGCACTAGATAACCTGACCCCCTTCCACCTTCTAACGCCAAGCACGTGCTCGGTCAATTCAGGGCACCGGGGACTGGGGATGGAAGAGGGCAGCCAAGCGGGTCTTCCTTCGCCCGCGGAAAGGACGGGGCGCGGGCCCTCGTGACTCTCAATCAGAGTCGGGACACAAATGCTGGGTAAGGCAGGAGCAGAGTGCCAGGAGGGTTCCTCTCTGTCACTGAAGAGTCGCACTCCACCCCAAGCCCCATCTCCAGCCACCGAAGGTGAACTACAGGACTCGGCCAAAGTCACCAGGAGGGGATTGGGGAACGAAGATGCAAAACCTTCGCACCTCCTGGAGACCCGGAACGCCCGGTGGAGGTCCACGAGCAGGCTTGGAAGGAGTGTCCCCCAAAGGAGAGGAGCAATTAGGGGAGGGGCGCGACCCAAGCAGGGCCGCACTCACCATGGTGAGTCCGGGCGGTGCGTCTCACGTTGAGTCGGTGTGACGGGTCTCTGTGAGAACTGCGCTAGCTGCAGTGCCGCACCGGTCTTATATGGGGGGGCGGGGCCCGCGTTCTCCGCTTGCCCACTAGGGGCTGGGCGGCCCACAGGCCACGCCTCCCAGAGGGGTAATTGGCCCCGAGGGGCGGAGCTGGCCGGGTCCCATCCCCAAGCTGCCCGCGGGTCCCTCACCTGTCGGGGTGGGATTAGGAGTCGCGACTCAGGCTTTAACTCTTTCTTTCCCGTTTTGAGCCTACACCCTGGGCTCCCGAGGGCCTCCGCGGAGACGCAGGGTGCTGTGGCTGGGAGAGTCTCGTCTGCACCTGCGTCCTGGGGCCGCCGGTCATCCAGGTGTTCTGATTTAGGTCGGGAGCAGGCGAGGCGGTCCTTCCCAAGCGGCCGCGGCTGGCCTTTCGCCCTTACCATTCCAGCCCCGCCTCCCAGGAGACTGGAGCCGGCTGCGCGGCCGAGGCGGGTCCCCGGGGAGCTCCTGCCAGCTGCCCGACGCTTGCTGGTCCCCGGCCTGGGCGGCAGGCTTTCGCCGACGCCTGTGGGAGGCCGAGGACCTGGAGCTGCACAACCTGAGCCCCAGGGTGCCGGTTCCTTAGGCGCTCCCGCAGAACCGAGCCCGGCAGCGTGTCTGCCGGGGCCAACCCAGGAATCTGCCGGTGGCTCGCCGGCCGCCCGCGGGTTAGTGGCCGGGTCATCAGCGCCGTCACTATGATGCCTTCGTTGCGGGCACCTGCCAGTTCTCTTGCTGCCAGAGCTGTGGGGGGCGCTGACCTGGAGGCCTCAGGACCCTGAATTCGCCTCCAGGCTTCCCTGTGTGACCTTGGGCAAGTGACTTAACCTCACTGAGTCCTTGACATTTTTGTGGGTGAAAAGAGGCAGTGACTTCTCTGGAATCACTTGTTTCAGTGTTTCACTGAAACACTTGAATGCTTCAAAAGGAAACATTGTTGTAAGCTATCAAAATGTCTGTTGACTCGGAAGAGACAAGAAAATTGAGATTCTCATATCTTAGATGATTTTGACTTTTTTGGTCTCTTCTGTCTCTAAGCCAAGGGCAGAATCTGCACCCTACACCTTAATGATCTCAGCCCCAGGCCTCAGCAGAAGCACTTCTTTCTACATTTCATTCCGTTCTCCCCACTCCACCTTTTCAGGCTACTTCTGTCCTCCCTCCCTCCTTTCCTCTTTCCTCCCTCCCTCCCTTCTTTCTTCCTTCCTTCCTTCCTTTCTCCCTTCTCTCCCCCACCCCACACACCCAGGCTAGAGAGCAGTGGCACAATCTCAGCTCACTACAACCTCCATCTCTGGGCTCAAGCCATCCTTCTACTTCATCCTTCCACCTCAGCCTCCTCAGTAGCTGGGACCACAGGCATGCACCACCATGCCCAGCTTATTTTTTGTATTTTTAGTAGAGACCAGGTCTCACCATATTGTCCAGATTGGTCTCGAACTCCTGAGCTCAAGCGATCCACCCGCATCAACCTCCCAAAGTGCTGGGATTACAGGCTTGAGCAACCGCCCCAGCCTGCCTTACATTTTCTAATTGTCTCCCTTCACTGGGGAAAGTCATCCAGCAGTGCCCCGGGTGCTGCTGGTTTGCACATCCTTAAGAAACCTGTCTTCCTGGCTCTACATCACTTGGAAAGGATTCACCTGACCCTCCCCCATCATCTGACAACACAACGTAATACCGTGAAAGAACTAGTGATGGCAACTCTACCAACAAAATAGCTTAGGCAAGGCATGGAAAGGAATATAGTGAAATATGACAAGGTGTCTCTTCCTAGTAGACTTACCATCTGATTGGGAGAACAAGACTCATTCATAAAAAGAAAACTGACAAGGTCATATAGTGAGGCTGCTTTGGGGAATGAGGTCATGATCTCTACAAAGGAAGGAGCCGTAGTGATTACAGAACACATGCTGGGAGGTTGCAGACCTTCCCTGACCCTCTTTGGACTGTCTTTGTGGTTCCCTACCCAAGCAGAGTGAATGTAGTAAGAGACTTGAGCTTTCTTAGGAAAAACCCTAAACCTCTTTGACCTTCAGGTGCAGATTCTTCATTTGTAAAACCTGGGAGACAATTTCGGATTGCGAGTATCACATGAGTTTAGGGATGTGCATATTCACATCAAGGAACTGTTAAGTAGCTGTGACATTTATTTTAGTGCATATAGCACATCATGATGTAGTTATTTGTGTACATGTACATCTTACTATTATAGATAGCAAACTATTGGCAGTAAGGACTGTGTCTTATTCATCTTTGTAGCCCCCACCATAGTGCTTAGCATGCCTGGTACACATTTGTTAAGTGTGTGTCAGATGAATTGTTTCACTTCAGAGATGGTAGGCAGAAGAATGCTCCCCCATAAAGATGTCCACATCCTAATCTCCAGGACCTATGACTGTTACCTTACATGGCAAAAGACTTTGAAGATGTGATTAAGATAAAGATCTTGAGATAAGGAGATGATCCTGGATTATCCCAGGTAGGCCCAATGTAATCTCAAGGGCCCTTATAAGTGAAAGAGGGAGGCAGGAGGGTCAGAGTCAAAGAAGAAGAGGTCAGACCCAGTTTGGTGGCTCATGCCAGTAATCCCAACACTTTAGGAGGCTGAGGTGGGAGGTGGGAGGATCACTTGAAGTCAGGAGTTTGAGACCAGCTTAGGCAACAGAGTGAGACCCTGTCTCTACCAAAAAATAAAAATTAAAAAGTAATGAAGTCAAAAGTAAGTACAGGTCAGAATCAGGTGATTGTTGACTTTGAAGAGGAATAGGGGCCATGAGTGAAAGAATATGGACAGCCTCTAGAAGATAGAAAAGGCATGGAATAGATTCTCCCCTAGAATTTACAGATTTAATTCTGCAAGACCCTTTGACCCTTTTGGTTTCTTCTTCTTCTTTTTTTTTTTTTTGACAGAGTCTTGCTCTCTTGCCCAAGGTGCAGATTCTTTATTTGGATTTGCATGGCTCACTGCAACCTTGCTCTCAGATTTCTAGGCTCAAGCAATCCTCCCACCTCAGCCTCTCTAGTAATTGGGACTACAGACAGGCACCAGCACACCCAGCTACACACACACACACATATATATATATATATATATATATATATATATATATGCGCATATATATATATGCACATATATATATATATATATGCACATATATATATATATAATGGCTGGGTGCAATGGCTCACATCTGTAATCCCAGTACTTTTGAGAGGCTGAGGTGGGCAGATCACTTGAGGTCAGGAGTTCAAGACCAGCCCGGTTAACATGGTGAAACTCCATCTCTACTAAAAATATAAAAATTAGGCTCCTGTAATTCCCAGCTATTCTGGAGGCTGAGGCAGGAGAATCCCTTGAACCTAGGAGGTGGGGGTTGCAGTGAGCTGAGATAGAGCCACTGCACTCCAGCTTGGGTGACAGAGCAAAAATTCTCTCTCTCCTCTCTCTCTCTCTCTCTCTCCATATATATATATATATATATATATATATATACACACACACACACATTATATACATACATTTTAGATATTTTGTAGATATGATGGGGTCTTACTATGTTGCCCAAGCTCGTCTAGAGCTCCTGGCCATAAGCTATCCTCCTGCTTTGGCCTCCCAAACTGCTGAGATTACAGGCATGAGCCACTGCACCTGGCCCATTTGTTTTGTTTGTTTGTTATGTTTTTGAGACAGTGTCTCTCTGTGTCATCCAGGCTGGAGTCCAGTAGTGTCATCTCAGCTCTCAGCTCACTGCAACCTCCACCTCCTAGGTTCAAGTGATTCTCCTGCCTCAGTCTTCTGAGTAACTGGGATTGCAGGTGCATGTCACCACACCTGGCTAATTTTTGTAGTTTTAGTAGAGACAGAGTTTCACCATGTTGGCGAGGCTGGTCTGGAACCCCTGGCCTCAGGTAATCCATCTGCACCAGCCTCCCAAAGTGCTGCGATTACAGGTGTGAGCTGTCACACCCAGTCCCATTTTGTTTTGTGTTTGTTTTTGTTTGAGACAAGGTCTGGCTCTGTCTCAGGCTGGAGTGCAGTGGCACTCTAACCATCCTTCAACCTCAGACTCCCGAGTAGCTGGGACTACAGGTGCGCACGACCAGGCCTGGCTAGCTTTTTTGTATTTTTAGTAGAGACGGGGTTTCACCACGTTGCCCAGGCTGGTCTTGACTCATGAGCTTAAGGGATCTGCCTGCCTTGGTCTCCCTGGGTGCTGGGATTACAGGCATGAGCCACCATGCCCAGCCCACCTGGCTCGTTTTGGACTTCAGAACACCAGCCCTGGCAGATAACAAATTTGTGTTGTTTTAAGCTATCATGTTTTTTATAATTTGTTACAGTGACAATAGGAAAATGATATGACAGTAGAGGTGGACAGAAGCTACCATCTTAAGATGGGCAACATGCTCCCTCCAGTTCACCACAGTGCTCATCACTTTCTGTGTCTGTTGTCATATAACTTCATACACTCAGCCTACGTTACACATTTATGATACCCTGGCCCCTGTAGCTAAGAGTTTACAACACTCAAGCATGCTTTCTAGCTGACAAAATGGAGAAGACATGGGTGCAGAAAGAAATGCCCAAGACATGTTAGTGAAATACAGATTCTGCTTCTGATTGTGTGTGTGTGTGTGTGTGTGTGTGTGTGTGTGTGTGTCCATGTGTCCTTGGGATATATACAGATCCCCAGAATTAGGGCCACAAACTCTGGTTGAGTATGCAGGTAATGGTTCATTTTACCGGATCAAAAACTTTTAGACATTCATAGACATGTTCAGAATCTAGAAAATGCTGCCAGACACTTCTTCACTCTCCCATTGAATTATTTTTCGGTCCATCTACCTACATAAGTACTCTTCCTCTGGGTCTCTCTCCCTCTTCTCCTTTCCCATTATCATCTCCGTATTTTCTGACCCCTTCCGAGGGTCTCGCCTTTATCTTGAAGCAGGGCAGCAAGGTACTCAAAGTTTAAAATGTTTTCGCTGACTCCATCTGGGAGAGGCAGAGCCGCAGCCTTAGTGGTGTGCAGCCTTCAGTTTTTCCAGACTAGAGCATCTCCCAGCCATCCTCCTTCTCAGAGCACAGCCTTTACAAAGGGGGAACTCTATTCATCACATAGCCATGAATTCACCCCTCAATACTCTCCCTGCAGACTTGACTCACATGCTCCGCTGAGATGCTTTTGCCAAGGTCTCTAGCAGCCTACATCTTGCCAAATCCAAAGGCCACACATCTTCATCTTCATTTTTCTCAGCTGCTCGCAGCAGCATTTCCCATGGTTGATTCTTCTTTCCTTCTTGAAATTCTTTTTTCTTGGTTTTGATGACAGCACCATCTTCTAGCTTTTGTCCTGGCCACTCCTTCTTGGTGGACTATGATAGTTTAACTTTATTTTATTTTACTTTTGAGATGGAGTCTCATTCTGTCTCCCAGGCTGGAGTGCAGTGATCTGGCTCACTGCAACCTCTGCCTCCCAGGTTTAGGTGATTCTCCTGCCTCAGCCTCCTGAGTAGCTGGGATTACAGGCACCCACCACTGTGCCCAGCTTATTTTTTGTATTTTTAGTAGAGATGGGGTTTCACCATCTTGGCAGGCTAGTCTTGAACTCCTGACCTTGTGATCCACCCACCTCAGCCTCCCAAAGTGCTGGGATTATAGGCATGAGCCACAGTGCCCAGCTGAGAGCTTAACTTTATATGGTGTTCCCCATAGCCCAGTCTTAGATTCTCTTATTTCCTTCATTTATTTTTCTCCCTGAAGGAGCAATTATTAAAGCTTGCTGATGAATATATGAGGTTTTATTGAGGGATTAT